ATCTATGATTAACACCTTCCACAATAAAAATGATTAATCAACCTCTCATAATTACAAAAAAATGAACAAAATGAAAAATTATGATTGGTTGAATGCGGTTTGCACGGTTTGTACAAATTGAGTGGTTTGTATTTGATCGCTCCCCTATATATATATAAAATTTATTAATCTATATCTTCAATAAACTATATAAATGTAACACCCAAAACATCACATTTGCATATAACACATATTTTATTACATGGAAACGTAGTTTACATCACAAGATCCCACTAGTACAAGTATTCTTATATGTACAAAATCTACATATGAAAATTTCAAAACAAATCCTGTACTAACACATGTAATACAACATGTATCTTCAAAATAAACAATCTTAAGCAGATCTTCAAAAGCAGATAACATGTTAGAAAATAATCACATTTTCTCTTTCCCCTTATTATCCCTGGACCCCGCCATTCCTGCATTGCATAATTTTAAAACTGAAAATAAGGGTTAGACTAGAAGGGTCTAGTGAGAAAATATATTCTTTGCAAATGCAAGGTGATGAACACCAAAATATAATAAAGTATCTTTGCACAAAAATTCTTGCAATATAATCAAATAATGCAGTTCTCAGTAGGACAAATTCAAGATCCTCAGTTCTATTAATAAAATACATCTGCTTAAAGATCCAATATTCCCAACATGAAACAAATATTGTAACCAAAGCTTCTTTGAATCACCAAACCATTCCTTTGTAAAATTTAAAGGAAAGCTTTAAGGCAATACTTGCCTTTTATGACAAACCATTTTCCCCTTCTCATTAACATCTAAATTATTATTTCTAATAGAAATAATATCTCTAATTCATCAGGTCATAAAGAAATGACGACTCAAAGTTATTAAATCCGATTAGTAATAGTAACAAGAGTTATAATATTATCCACATATGACAATGCCTCCCTTATTCCAAGTACATCTCTCTTTGATATGCCACCTTATTCCTCCATCAAAACAGGGCTACTTATCAGAACAGATAAAAGTCACCACGTCTGAAAGTACCCATTCCCAGTTCCAAGCCAGAACAGACAAAAGTCACCACGTCTGGGGGAACTACCTCTTAAAACAAGTTTCATACCAAAACAGACAAATGTCACCACGCTTGGTAGAAACAATTCACAAAATCCAATTCCCTACCAAAACAGAATTACCTCACCACGCTTGGTAGGAATGTTTTCCAAAATATAGTTTCATACCAAAACAGACTTACGTCACCACGCTTGGTAGAAACATTTCCCAAAAATTCCGTTCCAGACCAAAACAGACTTACGTCACCACACTTGGTTGGAACATTTTTTTTATTATAAAATACCCTTTTTTATAAATCCATAATTAAATCCAATAATAAATCTTATTAAATTGTGTAAAAGTCAAAGATGCTAAATATTTGAAAATTTAACGATTATAAATCATCCGGATAAGTTATCCGGATAAGACTTGTCCCTTTGTCCGATGTACATATCCGGACAACACATACTTGTCCGATTTATCAAATCCGGACACTCCTTGATCGATTAATAACTAATCCGCATGATACTTGTGTGATTTAAGAATAAACCTTACAACACTTGGTCGTATTTATACTTCTCCGTTCAAAAAACATTTATCCGGTTTACATAGTTCAAATTCTCACTAACACCCTAAATCGCACAACATTTAGGCGATTTATAGATAAATCGGATAACTCTTATCCGGTTTAAGAGTAATCCGGGCAAGCTTCGTCCGGTTTATACTTAATCCGGTCACTCCTTGTCCGAATAAAAACCTCAATCAGATAACTGATTTCTTCCCAATAATAAGCAACATTCAATAAAAACTAGTAACAAATTTTATACAAAAGAGGTTTAGAAATCACTCACCTTTATGAAAAACTCAGATTTTTGAAGATGATGAAAACCAATTTGATTTCAAACTTGATCTGCGGACATATCTTCTCTCTAAATCTCTCAACTCCAAATGAGGCAAGAAGATTGCATCCTCACTAAAACTTCATATTTATACTTTCCTCATTTGGAAAGTCGGTCTTCCCCCTCCCCCCCACATGCATCCGAATCACCCATGCATGAAGGCACATATACACTGTTCATATTATTGCACATATATTCCCATGCATAAAACACACATACTCACATATTTAATCCATGTAAGCATGTATCCATATAAACAATTAATTCACATAATAAATACCTTGAGCAATAATCCAGACCTGGTTATCACAATAAAGGAGAATCATCAAAAGATGATGTGACATCTTGAGAGAGTTAAAATTATTAGTTGCTATTTTTTTCAATTTTTGAATTATTAAAAATAAAAACATATCATTAAATGAATGAACCTTTCATTTACTTTTTATATATAAGTTACATATAATAATCTAATAGACCTTTAAATCTTGATATCTATAAACATATAATATGTATATCTATAATCTATAAGTAAGAATCAAAAAAATGATATGACACAATGTGGATTGAGAAGTCCAAAATATTGAATTGTAGTTAACTTTGTTCATCTCATATTTGATAAAAAGATGATATGTTGGAACATTGTGGTGATTATATAAAGAAAAGGATGACAACTTTTTCTTTACATGGTTTTTTATTTATGATTACTTTAATTCATTTTGAATTAAATAGTTAGTTTTAGTTACAATTTTCTTTGTGTTGATTTGATATTCCATTTTGTTATACAATTAATACGATACATTTATTTCATTTGTTTTGTTTGTCTTATATCTTTGTATATATGAAAGTAAGGACCAAAAGAAATAAAATGACACAATATGGATTGAGAATTCCAAAATATTGAATATGATTAACTTTGTCTATCCATTGATATAATCTTTCTCTCTCTCTCTCTCTCTCTCTCTATATATATATATATATATATTTGTGTGTGTATGTGTATATAGGGATGGGTAAATGAAATTGAAATTAATATA